ATTACCTTAATTACTTCAACTTACTTTTCTGAACCCTATCCAATTATTTGATGCTGCAATCATTGACAAATTAAAACTTTCAATTTAGAAGGACTCTTATAATTCATATAAGTGAATTTTGAAGTCTACCGGCATTGTTCAACAGAACATTGAATGAATTTTATCTAGCTTATTTTAGTGTAAAATGATGGATCTCTAACCCATCCTTAATTTAATAATTTATGCCTTTGGTACAACATTTTCTTGCGTTTAAGTTCTAATAATAAATATATTTAATAACCGCAATGGTAAATGTTATTTGTTTTAATGAGGACATTGGTAACCCTTGTTTCAAGTCATCATTAACAATGCTTTTCTAAATTGCCTTTGTGTGAGCCATTGTATTCTTTAATCCAATAAATGGCTTGTGCCGATGGTGCTACATTCATGAAAATAACAGCATTAGTTAACTGGATTTTGTCTTCCCCAAGTTTGTCTTTTTATAAGAACTTAGCATTTCAGCTTGACAAAATTATGATTATAAATGCGACAAAGCAGAAGTGGATTTAAGATATATTTTTATTTTGTATCATTCTTCCCCCTGGAAAGCTTTCGTTCTGCTGGGGTTGAATTTCAATGCTTTTCACTATTTTCTGAGTCTGTCCAGGCCTTCACAAGGAAGCAAGCAAGCAAGCAGGAAGGAAGGTAGTCAGGCAGGAAGAGAGGAGGAGCTGGGAGCGTTCAGTGGTAAAGCCAGAGACGAGAGCCCAGGAAATTCCATTTTTGAAGTAGTGATAGTAACCGAGGAGAAAAGGTGATACGATTAACTATGGACGCTGGAGGTGATGCTGACGAGGCAACAGTACTGCGGACGGTGGAGGTGATATTGATGAAGCAACTACGGGGAAGGGGCGGGTTGTTGGAGCTGAAACTGACAGTGCAACTATGGACAGTTGGGGTGATTCCGACGGTACAGCTTTGAACGGTGGAGGGGTTAACGAATAAGGCACCTGTACAACACCTGGGTTTCTTTACCTATAGGCGTTTCGCCTACTGTAACAGGATAAACGTCTTTCAACGAAGATGCCCAGGTTTTGCAGCTATTGAAGGAATTATTACATCAAATGTATAATACTCTTGATCTAATGATAGGCGTAGTTAATATTGACGCATCACCTACGGAGGGCAGACGTGACACTGGCAAAGCCGCTACCAAGCTGAACACGATGCAGGGTTGTCACTGGTTTAAGGCAAATACATTCAGACTTAGTAAGCAGAGAGTATTCCGAGAACTTGAACGGGTGTAACTGCCGAATCGAATGTGTGTTTCTATGCTAATTGTCCTAAGGGCCGAGACATCAACAGAGCACAGAAAGCATATGACACTACACTGTATCAAGCAACAAAACAATGCAAACGAGTTTCCATGAAGGGATCAAGGAATCCGTAAAAAAAAACTGCGCTTCTGGCAACGAGACAAAGAAAACAGGTGTCGCCACCATCGTGTAACAAGCGGAACTCGCTCAATAATTAAGATTTCCCACTATCTCATCTCTCATTTCCCTTCCATATGACTCATTTTTTTTCTCTCTCTTCACGACGTTTTCTTCGATTCCTTTGCAAAAGTTAGCAAATATACGAGCAGTACTAAGTCTTCAAACAAATTACGTTCTCTGTAACGATGTTCAGTTCATTCTAACCAAAATTATTTCTCAACGGAGATGTACATCTTAGAAACGTGCGATGTTCTTCCCTATCAAGAGTATCTCAGAGTCACATATGCACTCATTTCCATATCATCATCTATCATCATCATCATCATCATCATCATCATCATCATCATCATCATCATCATCATCATCATCATCATCATCATCACCATCATCATCATCATGCCTTCTATGTCATTTTCATCACCATCTACTTTTTTAAACTCCTCTGTGCTCTTGTTTTTGCATATACCCATTCTCTTATTTCCCTGTATATCTACTGTTATTTTCCTATACACGCAATTTTTCATTTCCCCTATACTTCCAATCTTCTATTCCCCTATAAACCCACTTGCCCATCCTCTCATTTCCTATACATTCATTCATTTTTAAGCACATTTTCATTTCCCACTTTCTTAACCTCATCAAATTAAGCAAGAAATTATCAATATACCTTATACACCTGTTTATTCTCCCTGTTCTCACAGCACACGATAACCACTGTAAAAATTCCCACTAAATTCCCCTCTTCTGGTGAAGGAAGGAAAAGAGGTAGGGAAGGAGAGAGGGAGGGAGAGAATAAGGAACGGAGACAGAGGGGAAGGGAGGTCGGAAGAGAGTGGGGGAAGAAGAGAGGAAAGGACATAGGGAGGTTTGCAGGCTGGTAAGGAGGGAGGGGGAGGGATGTAAGGAGAGAGTAAAGAACAGAGAGTTGGACTGTAAGAGGGAGTATGCTGGTAGGAAGGGATGGTGGGAGGAGGGATGGCTTGGGGGGAGAGGCTACAGACATCACAGAAGGGTTGAGAGTTTCCATTAAGGAAGCTGAAGGGTCTTCCACTCCTTCTTGATGAGACTCGAGATGAAATAATATCTTCTCTCTCCTCAGAATATAACAATTTCATTCTTCTCTCATTTGTTATTTATTTATGAATTTCATTCATTATACCATATAAATTTAATTGTATTCTTATTTACATGTATGCACATCTTTTTTAATTTCTTAACTTTCAACTCTCAGTCACTTTTTTTTTTGTGCCAGACAAAACCAGAGCGCAATTTAGAAAAAAATTTAGTGTGATTCAGATGTTTCTTCCAAAGAGACGAAACAAATTTATACTCCATTTCGATAAACTTCTTAGTAAAGTTAAGCAAGGTTGTAATTTTCATTGTGTTTGTTATGGAAGGTTTCTACGTCACTTGGAGAAGACGATCAGCAAAGTGTTTACCAAAAAATATGTGTTGAATAATGGCATAGAACGTAGCTACTCCACGGTTTATTTTACAGCACACTTTGGTTAGTGGAGTATTACCTGGAGTTTACCTGGAGAGAGTTCCGGGGGTCAACGCCGCCTGTGACCAGGCCTCCTGGTGGATCAGAGCCTGGTCAACCAGGCTGTTACTGCTGGCTGCACGCAAACCAACGTACGAGCCACAGCCCGGCTGGTCAGGTACCGACTTTAGTATTATTGTAATACTCTGCAACAGATTTGTTGTTGGAGAAGATCAACAAGTGCCTCAGTCAGAGGGATGAATATCACTATTAAAGGACGGAGGATCGAGCATCCACCACTCGCCGCACTGAATGACCCACACAGGATTAGCGTTTTACATAAAAAATAAATAAATTCTGAATATATTCCAGCAACATCTCTCGCTCTACTTACATTACGAAATGGATGAATCGAACTGAACATCAAAGCGTAACGAACATTTGTCAGTAATAGGATTGAATCAGTGTTTAGGCAATGACACAAAAAAATTTTACTCTGTATATTTTCGACCTCAGTCCGAGGTCCTCTTCAGCAGAATACAACGCTTGAGTAAAGTACATCTTTTATAACATGTCTGAATATGAAGTCTGGTGAGTATCCTGGCTTGGTGGTTCATGTTAAAAGGTTGTTTTCTTTGCCTATCATGATGTTACTGGCGGATCGCAAGATTACATTCCCCCATCAGACCACAAGGCAATACTTTCTACACTGAACATTTTAATCAGATTGTGGGATATGGACTATTAACCCGACCCATTTGTTAAATCTTTCCTCCACGGAATTGGATGTCTTGGTACAGGGTAATATAAAGTAAGATCCTAATTTCGCCAGTCAAATCGTAGGACGTAGATCAATAACACAAGCCAGTTTCACGTCGGTAATTTCTGACCAAGCATTAAGATTTGCCTTGGTTTAGATACCATAATTACAGGGGAGGTGCTGTCAAACGCAACACTTGCTTCAAATCACAACAGAAATGTTCAAATTCAAGTCAGTCACTGAAATAAGGAAGTTCAACACTGAGACATCACTTAGTTGGCCTTGTACATAACAATATGGCCACCCACAACCCTCTGGTGTTGAAAGCGCTGCTGAAATGACAGATCTGTTGAGACTGGATCTAGGGCAAATCTGTCATTTCAGCAGAGTCTTCAACACTGAAGGGATGCGGGCAGCCTCTCTGTCTCAATGATATTCCCTCGAGGTAACAATTTCATCTCTAACTCATGTGTTGCCTATAGGTAACACATTTTTTTCTGTATGGATAAAACTATGAGTGAGAGAGACGGTCTCTTGCTAGATGCAAGAATTGTCAAAAATTATTGGAGGTTGTAATATATCAGAGAGATTGCAAGTTTCACCTAAAAATCACCGGATACAGAAGAGGCAATGAGACCTGATCGAATTATCTCAAGAATGCACTATAGTTCCGTGGACACGCTGCACTTTTTGTTTCAAACAGCACACAAAATAAACTCGCCAAAGCACAATCACAAAAATACATCATCCACACTATACAGACACAGACACACACTGACAAACACACACAGACACACACATATATATAGAGTTGTCAGGAAGTGGAATAGCCTAGAAAGTGACGTAGTGGATGCAGAAACCACACAGTTTTAAGACGAGGTTTCATAAAGCTCATGGAGCAGGGAGAGAGAGGACCCAGTAGCTATCAGTGAGAGGCGGGGCCAGGAGCTATGAATCGACACTTGCAACCTCAAATAAGTGAGTAACCATACACACACACACACACACACACACACACACACAACACACACACACACACACACATACAAACACACACACACACACACACACACACACAACAACACACACAACACACACACACACATACACACACACACACACGTGAATGAGAGAAGTGCTACTTTCTCTCACTCAGTGAGTTTCTTTAATTCACTGGGTCATGAAAACTACTCTTTACCATCATCAATTCCGACTACACACTGGAAAAGATAAACGAAGCTTTAATGAGTAATCTTCATTAGTTAAGAGTATTCCCACTCACCAAGTGCGAAGCCATCCTTGGTCCACTGAGCACGTCCTTGCTGGTGGTCGACGATGCAACAGAGGTAAACATTCTCCCCTAGACGCACCTCAACGTCTTCTGGTCGAACTCGAAACACCTGTTTCTCCTCCTCGCCTGTACCTGTGAACATAAAGAGAAAGTGATTAACAATTAATTCGTGTAATTAACGGAAAGGTAATAACATGAAGTTTATTCTGTTTTTTTGAATAACTATACATTAAGGGAAGCGTGGGAAAATGAAAAGGAAAATTTGCCTTGAAAATCAGGAAAATCGCGCAATAACGCTTTAATTTTAACATTGTAAGTATACTGCATCATATTTTGTTTAGATTCTGAACAAATCTATAGGAACGTTTGCTCATCAGAAAGCAAATCGTTAATTTAAATTGGGTAATTAGCACACTACAAGATAACCACGTTATTCTCTTAAAGGCTTTAAGTAACGACAATATCTATATCTTTTTAAACTAGTCAAGAAACTGCAAAGACTTCCATTAATAATAATGTCACTTTCGGTGCCTGTAAATAGCACTGACTGGGTATCATATAAGCTGGTGAATGTGATATTACTTGTAAATGATGAATACATATATACATATATATTATTGTAACCACGAACGAGTGGTATTGATCAATAACAACACTGCCACTTGCCAAGGACTCAAACCCATGCTGCTTTGGCCAGCCTCATGGTGAGTGAAAACATATGACGCTCTAATCCTCATGACCACCGACCATGAGGCGGGCCAAAGCAGCATAATAATATATATATATATATATATATATATATATATATATATATATATATATATATATATATTATATATAATATATATATACATATATCGTGCCGAATATGTAAAACTGGTCAATTAGCAAGAACTCATTTAAAATTAAGTCCTTTCTAAAATTTTATCTTATACGTTTAAAGATATATTTTTTTCATTAATGTTAATGTAAAAAATTATAATTTTGCACCAAAAGAATCTTAGAAAACTTACCTAACCTTATTATAACAAGAGCAATTTACTTTAGCCTAACCAAACTAAATATATTTTAAATACGTTTACAGTAATTTAGTACTAAGCAAACACAATGAAATATATTTTTTTTCGTTAGGATCACAATGATTTTGACGAAATTATTACATACACAAATTTTCACTTGTCCTATATGGCAAGATAAGCGTTGCTATTTAAGCCAAGATCGCATGTTCTGCCTATTCGGCACAACATTATATATATATATATATATATATATATATATATATATATATATATATATATATATATATATATATATATATATATATATATATATATATATATATATATATATATATATATATATATATATATATTATATATATATATATTTAAACTCAAATGTAGGGAAGGTAAGAATAAAGACGTTCTTAAAGTAAATTCGAGAAAATCTTGAGAAAAGAGTGGAGAAGAAGTGAGCCTTCTTGACGGTATCTTTACTTCCTCAATACACGCTCAGGTGAAGGCTCCTCTAATTAGAAGGTTTAAGGTTTAACCTTCCTTCCGGTCCAACCACCCACAGCAGCCGCTGACGATACCACCTCTCCCACAACACCCGCCAGCTCAAAACACCTGCCCATCTACAACAACAACAACAACAACCTACCCGCAACACCTTCCCACCCACAAGGTGGGGAAGGGCGAATCAGATGGAGGATGAAGATGGTGAAGGAAGGAGTGGTTGAGGGGTGGTTAAGATAGAGGGGGGGGGGAGGGAGAAAGCTTTAATTCGGAAATAACATTTTTTAATCTGTATATTTTAATATTTCACTTGTCAGTTATTTTTGAACGCAAAATAACATAATTTTTTGCTTCATTAGACAAAAATCCGCTTGGAGCGCTTATTACAGAAAAAACAAAACAATTGAAATAGAGAAACTCTTAAACAAATGCAAAATAACAGCCAGGACAAAATAGGTTGGAATTAGATATTGATAAATACACAAAGTATCATTAAAATTAATTAATATATTTCCTAATTAGTGTCTCGGGTGTCACGTTCCACAGAACAGCCAACCAACCAGAAGAGTCAGGAAGAAGAATGATAGAGAAAGATAAAACGTTCACATGATATACATGTGTGGTATTAAATACCGACAAGATGAATTAGATACGTGTGCAACATCTTGGCATCTTTACTGCAGACGTCTCGTATCGCCTTGTGTAGAGCTCTGTCAAGTCTCAACTTGGTGAATGCTCTACGCAGAGCGAAACGTTGTCGCAATGAAAGCCTCCCTCTGCAGTGTGTGTATTTTGAGCCATCCAATATTCGCGAAGTATTATCAAGTTGCAATGCTCAGGTCATTCAGAATTCAATTTAATATGAGGTTAAGAGGCAATTATGCTCTCTTGATTTTTTTTTAATCTTACCAATAGCTTCGAAGCTGGATTTAATTTAATAATTAGTAATCTGGTAATTAATTTCGAGCATTCGAATATCAGAAATTATCCCTTCTTACTGTTGTTATATTTTCCTTTCTGTCTTCTTCTTCGTCTTTGTGCTCTATGCACTTCCAGTGATACATATTTGCCTTGATTTACTAGATATTATCGGGTAAGAGCACTTAAAGTACAAAAATAAGGACCATAGTAAACTAATGGCGGTTATGGACGATATACTATATTTTCAGACATATAAGACGCGCCTCATTTCCCACAAAATCTTGGAAAAATCATCCTGCGCCTTATATGCTTAAGGGCAACGTCTGGGTTACGCCTTAGAGTAAAATAAGAGAGTAATCATAGCCCATGAATGTAATTACTGACTTACCGTTATGATACTTCTGCCGTGCGTCTTATATGCCGGACAGTACAGTATATACGTCAAGTGGATGCATCCGAGTGTCTCAACGACCGTCCCAGGCAGCGTCTCAGCCACTGGTTAGCTGACAAACATAGCTTAGAAGTGGAGCACAAGAGACGCAGTTGGCTTGCAAAGTCTGAATTGTGACATACCGCTTAGCTCCGGACTTGACAAAGGTCGACACTGGGCAAAACGCCATCCGAATAAAGGCTTTCTATATGTACTGTGTTTTCCCTTTATTATTGGGGAAAAAAAAGTTACTATTAATAATGAATTTAGGTTATTTTCCCGTGGTTGCAAAAATTATTAGAATGTTTTTGTACTAGGTTTTTTTATTAGTGTTTCGTCAGCTTCTGTGTTTTGCCTTATATTCTATGCATGCTCTTCGAATATTCTTGTGAATTGTTTATTGTGGGTTCTATAACATTTTCAGATACAATTAATGACCTTGTAGATGCAAGACATTAACATTGCAGCAGTTTTTAATACCAAAGAATGTGAAATATTTTTAAAACCTGTTTTTTTGTGAAATGACAAGAACATAATCCCATTTTTTTTTCATACGTTCTTCAGTTTGCTTAATACGCCTTCCTATAACACGCCGTTGTCGGGAACGTAAACAGTGCTTTTCGACATTATACTTATTAAAACTTCGTGTTAGCTCAAACATTACCAATCATTTTCAAGGTGTTGTTGACGATCGCAAAGAATGCCAGAGCTTTTCAAGGTGTTGTTGACGATCGCAAAGAATGCCAGAGCTTTTCAAGGTGTTGTTGACGATCACAAAGAATGCCAGAGCTTTTCAAGGTGTTGTTGACGATCGCAAAGAATGCCAGACCTTTCCAAAGTGTTGTTGACGATCGCAAAGAATGCCAGACCTTTTCAAGGTGTTGTTTACGATCGCAAAGAATGCCAGAGCTTTTCAAGGTGTTGTTAACGATCGCAAAGAATGCCAGACCTTTTCAAAGTGTTGTTGACGATCGCAAAGAATGCCAAACCTTTTCAAGGAATTGTTGACGATTGCAAAGAATGCCAGACCTTTCCAAAGTGTTGTTGACGATCGCAAAGAATGCCAGACCTTTCCAAAGTGTTGTTGACGATTGCAAAGAATGCCAGACCTTTCCAAAGTGTTGTTGACGATTGCAAAGAATGCCAAAAATTTCCAAAGTGTTGTTTACGATCGCAAAGAATGCCAGACCTTTTCAAGGTGTTGTTGACGATCGCAAAGAATGCCAGACCTTTCCAAAGTGTTGTTGACGATCGCAAAGAATGCCAGACCTTTCCAAAGTGTTGCTGACGATTGCAAAGAATGCCAGACCTTTCCAAGGAGTTTTTTACGATTGCAAAGAATGCCAGACCTTTCCAAGGAGTTTTTTACGATTGCAAAGAATGCCAGACCTTTCCAAAGTGTTGTTGACGATCGCAAAGAATGCCAGACATTCTCAGAGAACAGTTAAGGAGCACCTAAAAGGCCTCACACATCTGCGAGTAACGATGGTAAGCAATATCCAGTCACAATTTATAAGACATGTAAACACACATCAAGGATGTATTTTAACCCTATCACACTCATATTGTCTGAATAAAAATAGATGCAGCCCATTCACATGCATTTTTTCGTGTTGCAGCTGTTCTCCATTTTATTATAAACATATCCATTTATTCGTTTAAATATTTATTAATTACTTTATACGCATCGACATGTATTATTGTATTCAAACATCTGTCTATAAATAAATGAATAATTTCAATTTGTCATTTAATTGAAGTTTATAATAATATATTAATCAATGAAGGAGTGAGGATGGTCATTACAGAGGCGGTTGTAATTACCAAGAGTCTGATTGTCCCGTTGACTGAATACTTTTACGAGATCTGGATCATTAAAGGAGACGGAGAAGATAATTAGATTAATTGCATTCATCGTAATTCATAGAATGAAACTTGGCTGATTAGTTCTTTTGATTTTTCTGACACTTTGGCGCTGAGCGCACCGACTCCATGCCCCCACGGGACTGTTGGGTCCGAGAGTGACGTACACGTGTACTCACCTATTTGTGGTTGCAGGGGTCGATTCTTAGCTCCTGGCCCCTCCTCTTCACCGGTTGCTACTGGGCCCTCTCTCTCCCCGCTCCATGAGCTTTATCAAACCTTGTCTTAAAACTGTGTATGGTTCCTGCCTCCACTACGTCATTTTCTAGGCTATTCCACTGCCTTACAACTCTATGACTGAAGAAATACTTCCTAATATCTCTCTGACTCATTTGAGTCTTCAACTTCCAATTGTGGCCTCTTGTTTCTGTGTCCCCTCCCTGGAACATCCTGTCTTTGTCCACCTTGTCTATTCCACGCAGTATTTTATATGTCGTTATCATGTCTCCCCTGACCCTCCTGTCCTCCAGTGTCGTCAGGCCGATTTCCCTTAATCTTTCTTCATAGGACATTTCCCTTAGCTCTGGAACTAACCTTGTCGCAAACCTTTGTACTTTCTCTAGTTTCTTGACGTGCTTTATCAAGTGCGGGTTCCAAACAGGTGCTGCATACTCCAGTATGGGCCTGACATACACGGTGTACAGTGTCTTGAACGATTCCTTACTAAGGTATCGGAATGCTGTTCTCAGGTTTGCCAGGCGCCCATATGCTGCAGCAGTTATCTGGTTGATGTGTGCTTCCGGAGACATGCTCGGTGTTATACTCACCCCAAGATCTTTCTCCTTGAGTGAGGTTTGCAGTCTTTGGCCACCTAGCCTATACTCGGTCTGTGGTCTTCTGTGCCCTTCCCCTATCTTCATGACTTTGCATTTGGCAGGATTAAATTCGAGAAGCCATTTGCCTGACCAGGTGTCCAGTCTGTCCAGGTCTCTTTGAAGTCCTGCCTGGTCCTCATCAGATTTAATTCTCCTCATTAACTTCACATCATCTGCAAACAAGGACACTTCTGAGTCTAACCCTTCCATCATGTCGTTCACATATACCAAAAATAGCACTGGTCCTAGGACCGACCCCTGTGGGACCCCGCTCGTCACAGGTGCCCACTGTGATACATCATTACGTACCATGACTCGTTGTTGTCTCCCTGTCAGGTATTCTCTGATCCATTGCAGTGCCCTTCCTGTTATATGCGCCTGATGCTCTAGCTTCTGCACTAATCTCTTGTGAGGAACTGTGTCAAAGGCATTCTTGCAGTCCAAGAAGATGCAATCAACCCACCCCTCTCTCTCGTGTCTTACTTCTGTTATTTTATCATAAAACTCCAGAAGGTTTGTGACACAGGATTTGCCTTCCATGAATCCGTGCTGGTTGGCATTTATACTCTTGTTCCGTTCCAGGTGCTCCACCACTCTCCTCCTGATAATCTTCTCCATAATTTTGCATACTATACACGTCAATGACACAGGTCTATAGTTTAGTGCCTCTTTTCTGTCTCCTTTTTTAAAAATGAAGATTGTGGTAAGTGGCACGCACAACAAATCTGCTCCCTCTCTAAGGACCCACGGGGAGATGTTGTCCGGTCCCATTGCCTTTGAGGTATCGATGTCCCTTAGCAGTTTCTTCACCTCCTCCTCATCTGTATGTATGTCGTCCAACACTTGTTGGTGTATTCCTTGCTGGTGTCCCCATCTGGTCTGTCCCCCCAGAGTCCTTCCTGTCTCTACTGTAAATACTTCCTTAAATCTCGTGTTGACCTCCTCACATACCTCTTGATCGTTTCTTGTGAGTTCTCCACCTTCTTTCCTCAGCCTTATCACCTGGTCCTTGACTGTTGTCTTCCTCCTAATGTGGCTATACAGCAGTTTCGGGTCAGATTTGACTTTCGATGCTATGTCGTTTTCATACTGTCGCTGGGCCTCCCTCCTTATCTGTGCATACTCGTTTCTGGCTCTTCTACTAATCTCCTTGTTTTCCTGGGTCCTATGCCTCCTGTACCTTTTCCATTCTCTGTTGCACTTAGTTTTTGCCTCCCTACACCTTCGGGTAAACCAAGGACTCGTTTTGTGTGTGTGTGTGTGTGTGTGTGTGTGTGTGTGTGTGTGTGTGTGTGTGTGTGTGTGTGTGTGTGTGTGTGTGTGTGTGTGTGTGTGTGTGTGTGTGTGTGTGTGTGTGTGTGTGTGTATGTGTGTGTGTGTGTGTGTGTGTGTGTGTGTGTGTGTGTGTGTGTGTGTGTGTGTGTGTGTGTGTGTGTGTGTGTGTGTGTGTGTGTGTGTGCGTGCGTGCGCGCGCGCGCCTTTAGTCGAGGTATCGGAGGTCGCGCCTTCAGCTTATCACAAAAATAGTCATTGTTTAATTTCGATTTTTTTTTCCTTTCTCTCGGAGACGCACCTGGTGACCGGCTGATCAACCAGATTATTACTTCCCGCATGTGTTGTGCCCTCTGATGCATGACAATATCCCAAGTTATAACACTCTTTAAATCTTCTAATCCACTATAACACAGATTCCCTTTAGGCATCTCTAGAAATATTAAAATTAATAACTTTAATATATATAAGAGCCCTGTATCATGGTATTATATTGTTAGTTACTTGGATTTAAACTCTACTGACAAGTCGAGGGTCACTGGATATACAGAGACAGGCAACTTTAAGGTGCATATAACAATTTGAACACATCCAGAGAAGACACTGCCGAGATGAGATACATAGTCCTCCCCACTAACGCCATTACCAAACACGTTTCCAATATATTTTCCAATACCTCATTCTAAGTGTCTACCTCCACTTCCACCATCATCAAGGACATTACCAGTAATAGACAGGACAAGCTTCAATCCTCTGCAGGGGTATACATAATCCCTTGTAATGACTGCAGCAAATTATACGTGGGCGAAACATCCAGAGACCTCCAAACAAGTGTTTCAGAACACCAGTACGCAGGCAGATCGGACGATTCAAGGAATTCACGTGTTCAACACCGAAATTAACAACCATTTAATCAACTACAGAAACCCAAGACTTATCGCTAGAGAAGAAAACAATACCGCAGAATCCTGGAATCGTCACTTATCTGTATATCCAACAACTTCAACCAAACCAACGGCTTCTGTAACATAACTGAACCCCATGCCAAGAAACTTCTTCATCCTTATCCCACATAAGAACATAAGAATGGAGGAACACTGCAGAAGCTCTACTCATATCTTGTCCAATCTCTTTTTTAAAGCTACCCAAGGTCCTAGCCTCTATCACCCTACTCGGAAGGCTGTCACGTGCAGGTTCAGATCCAACCTACCCAGCGTTCTTCACCTGACTCCATCCTAAAAATACTCACGTACCTTTCACCCAGGTAGATCTGTTTGTGATTTAACAAAGTCCAATGTGTGGGCGAAACATTGTCAATAAAGGATCACATTATACTGTTTATGTGTTTATTTTTCCAAGGGGCATATAACCTTGAGTATTATATTAAATATATATTTTTTTTAAGAATTCCATTAAAAAAGTAGTGAATCTCAAAATATAATGGCATTGAATTACTGTATTAAAGAAATAAATTTGAAAGTATTGTATCTTAAAAGCAGTGCTATTTATGAGCTGGAGGAAGCTGTGTGAGATGCGTTGCTCAGGAGAAGCAATCTTCACATCCTGCCTCTGTCCTTCGCCAGTGTCGTAATTAGATCTTTTGTTTTCGTGAGACTTTACTAATTTATAACAGAAAACGGTTTGTTAATTGCAATTAAAAACAATAATAATAATGAAAATATTGTTATTTTAGTGCTATTATTACTTCTGATATCTGAACTTGGTTAAGTAATTTTCCATACCACTTGTGATATCTGAAGCACAGTATGTGCAGTGTTTAATGTTATAATATAACAGCTCAGTATAATACTGACTGTCACAAACTTTGTGCTGTCTAGAAACTTATTTTTTAGGGTTCTACTTAAGGATTATACACGAATTGTATATGCGCAATAAGATCAAAGAAAGCATGTGATATCTTAATATGCAGTATATAATCAGTTTCGTGATTTTTTCACATTACCAAAGTACAGTTTTCTTTGATAATGTTCAATTTCCGGGATTCAATCATGGTAAGTGGCTGTACGAAAGCCACAGTGAAGTTAAAAAGTTTTTTTCTTTTTAGGCTGTGGTAAATAAATAGATGCAATTAAACGAAGAGGTTGTGGAAAGAGTCCTCATATCTAGTCGTAAGAGAAGGAATGAACAGGAGGGGGGGGATCAGTAGCTAAGTGTCGACCCCCAGTAAGCTCAAATAGCGAGTACTCCTAGAAGTGTACTCCCACACTAACCCACTACCATGTCCCGAGTCCACAGTCTCCCACGCTCTCCCTCGCTGTCATAGCAGCCTGACCTTTAGAAACATACGTTGACATTTATATTTCTCGCAAAGAATAAGCTGCCTTACCCAGCAGCTTCCTATTAAATAATGTAATATATTCTCGGGTGTTATATGTGCTACAGTAAAGCTCGGGATTATGATCAGAAAGTTGTGCAATTCATGGGGTTGTGAGTAATACAAGCAAACTAGGAGCTGATAGTTACACTCCAGGAGAATTTCATCGCTTGATTTGATAAGGATGTCCGTGTCCGTGTCATATGGTCCGCAGAATAAACCAGGTGATATGGAACAGTGAACAGAGTTCAGTTCTTTCCAAATGATAAAGGTTGCAAATGGTTAGTTAATATGATAAGAGTTTAATTTCAAAAATAGTAATTTATGTGGAGGTCAAGAAAAATCTTCACAAAACAAGAAAGGGAAGGTTATGTCTAATTCCTTGGAGTAAGAGGCCTTCACCATCGCCATCGTGCCACCTTCCCTTGGCACTGAGAAACTTGGAGACGGAGGCAAACGGCGCAAATCAGACACATGTACAACACTTGGGTATCTTTATTGAGGAAATGTTTCGCTACACAGTCGCTTCATCAATCCTATACAAAGAAGAATGGTGAAAATCGGAAGGAG